TCTGCTGTGTACCATTGGTGTACATGCACACACACAGTCACTATCTGCTGTGTACTCTTGGCGTGCACACACGTCACTGTGTGCTGGGTAGTGTTGGTGTGCATGCACACATATCACTATTTGCTGTGTACCATTGGCGTGCACACACCCACATCACCATCTGCTGTGTACTGTTGGCGTGGACGCGCACACATCACTATTTGCTGTGTACTGTTGGCGTGCATGCACACACTTCACTATCTGCTATGTACTGTTGGCGTGCACGCACACATTTCACTATCTGCTGGGTAGTGTTGGCATGCACACACACACAAGTCACTATCTGCTGTGTACTGTTAGCATGCACGCACACACGTCACTATCTACTGTGTAGTGGCGTGTACGCACACGTCACTATCTGCTGTGTACCGTTGGCGTGCACGCACACTATCTGCTGTCGTTCAATGTTGGCAACTCTGTGGGGCAGGTTTTAGTATCCCAATTTACAAGTGAGGAAACAGAGACCTCTTTCAGGGGGGTTAAGCTCTTATGAAAATGGTAATTAATACTTATCGAGGCCGGGTGCGGTGGCTCACACCTGTATTCCCAGCACTTTAGGAGGCCGAGACAGGCGGATCATGAGGTCAGGAGATCGAGACCATCCTGGCGAACACAGTGAAACCCCGTCTCTACCAAAAATACAGAAAATTAACCAGCTGCGGTGGCGGGCGCCTGTAGTCCCAGCTACATGGGAGGCTGAGGCAGGAGAATAGCGTGAACCCAGGAGGCGGAGCTTGCAGTGAGCCGAGATTCCACCACTGCACTCCAGTCTGGGCGACAGAGCAAGACTCCGTCTCAAAAAACAAAAAAAAATACTTATCGAACATGAACAATTTCCTAATAGCCGATATATCCAGTTCACATTTCCCAAATGACTAAATTAGCACGTTCCCGGTGGGTTGTTGACAGCATGGGAAGGCAGAGCCCATGTGTCCCGAGCCTCCATCCATAACATGCCTCTCCTTTTCCGCCATTCGTGTAAGGACCCCTGGGCGTTTGACAGTTGTGTATCCTACATTCTGCCTTTGGCCGGCTGCATCCTTGTGGTGTCAACAAAACCCTGTTTCCCCTGTACTTCTGAAAAGTGAGGTGTGGTGCAAAGGCCTGATTGGATTCCTAGGAGACTTCGGGTGACAAAGCATCTGGCCGCTGTGTGGGTCCGGGGTAGAAGCAGGGGTCCTGTTAGGAGGCTTCTGCAGTGGACAGTGGGAGGAAGCAACTGGGGGGAGGGTGAGCAGCTCGGTGTGGACATCCAGCTGGACCTGCCAAGCTGCAAACTGGGTCTAAAGCGTGGATTCAGCAGGGCCATAGGCCGGGGAGAAAGAGTTTGCTGAGCACTGCTGATTTTTAAAAATTGATCAAGAAGAAATGAGGGTGGTGCCTGGTTCCCGGACACAACAGGGAGAGGAGAAGGAAAAGGATCAGCGGAGGGCAAGGTCAGAGAAACAGCAGGCAGGGGGAGGACCCGGGGCTGAGTGAATGCAGGGGGAGGACCCGGGGCTGAGTGCTGCCAGGACGTCTGGGGGTACTAGAGATGACCACTTTGAACTCTACACCTCATTCTTTTTTTTTTTTTTTTTTTTTTTTTGTTGAGATGGAGTCTCGCGCTGTGTCACCCAGCCTGGAGTGCAGTGGCACGATCTCAGCTCACTGCAAGCTCCGCCTCCCAGGTTCACGCCATTCTCCTGCCTCAGCCTCCGAGTAGCTGGGACTACAGGCGCCCGCCACCACGCCCGGCTAGTTTTTTGTATTTTTAGTAGAGACGGGGTTTCACCGTGTTAGCCAGGATGGTCTCGATCTCCTGACCTTGTGATCCGCCCGCCTCGGCCTCCCAAAGTGCTGGGATTACAGGCTTGAGCCACCACGCCCGGCTTACACCTCATTCTTTATTTTAAAATTTTGCTCTGTATTTTTATTTCTAACGTGAATTATTCTTGATTTTTCCCATGTTGTTGTCTCCCCCACCCCCAGTACATACGTGATATTCCCGTCTACCACCCTGGCTAGAGTGCAGTGGCGTGATTTTGGCTCACTGCAACCTCTGACTCCCAGGTTCAAGCGACTCTCCTGCCTCAGCCTCCTGAGTAGCTGGGATTACAGGTGCCCACCACCACGCCCGGCTAATTTTTGTATTTTTAGTAGAGACGAGGTTTCACCATGTTGGCCAGGCTGGTCTTGAACTCCTGACCTCAGGTGATCTGCCCGCCTTGGCCTCCCAAAGTGCTGGGATTACAGGCATGAGCCACCGTGCCCGGCCTCATGTATTTAGTTTTCTATGTACTAGTCACTAATGAAGTCCTGAACTCTCTCCTCTAAATCTTAGTGCATTCAATCACTTTCATCCCCTTGAGGGCCTCTCTCCTGAGCCTTCTGCCTGGCTCAAGGTCCCCTATTCCTGTGACACACCCCGGCTGTCCTAGATTTGATCCTTGATGTGGTTCATGTCTTCCTTTTTCCTGGTCTCCACTCTCATTTTAGTAGTATTTGTGTGTCCACATACACCAGATTCCAGGAGGTCAAAGTCATCGCCCTCCCAGCCATGCACACACAGCATACAACTCTTGCAGATACCCCTTTGGGACGCCGGGCATCATATACCTGCCCCACTGTGCACACACAGGTGTGTATTTCCCTTCCTCCACATTCACACAGCCTTTCCCATGCAGCATGCTCACACACACACACACACACACACACACACACACACACACCCTGCTAGCAACACCCATACATTCCTGTGGGAGAAGGGGCTGAGGCACAGGAGGTAGAGGTGGGAGGGGAGGCAGAGATGGGGAAGGGTCAAAGGGCCCAAGTTGGAGGGAGATGCTGTGTGGACTGACTTAAAAAAATGGGTCCCGGCTGGGTGTGGTGGCTCATGCCTGTAATCCCAGCACTTTGGGAGGCCAAGGTGGGCAGATCACTTGAGGCCAGGAGTTCAAGACCGGCCTGGCCAACATGGTGAAACCCCATCTCTACTAAAAGTACAAAAATTAGCCGGGCATGGTGGCAGGCGCCTATAATCCCAGCTACTCGGGAGGCTGAGGCAGAGAATCGCTTGAACCCAGGAGGTGGAGTGTGCAGTGAGCCAAGATCATGCCGCTGCACTCCAGCCTGGGCAACAGAGTGAGACTCCATCTCCAAACAAGAAAAACACAGTCCCTCCACCTACGTGCCTGCAGGGCTGCCTGGTTAGGGCCAGTGTTTATTGCCTGGGTGAGTCCACCCCCTGCAAGTCCCCAACTCCGCCCAACTCCACCAGCCGCTCCAGTTCCCTCAGGGATGAGGGCGGGGCAGGGGTGAAAGAGGACAAGGGCAGAGGGACTCGGGAATGGGGAGGGCTGTCAGGAGGCCCCAGGTGAGGGGCATTTCCCTAGGGCAGTCACCGGTCCTGAGCTCAGCTGGCGTGAAGGAGAATGTCCACCTCCCTTGTGCTGACTTGGAGCAGCCTTGTGCCCACACAGGCACCTGGGCATCCAGGGCTCAGAGGAGAGCCAGGACCTGAGGCCGGAGGGCGTAGAGCTGGCCTGAAGTCTTAAGGTCTGAGACCACAGGCCTCCAGCAGGTGCAGCTCAGGGGACCGTCTCCTGGCCTTGCAGCCCCAATCACAGCAACCCCAGGGCCCCAGAAGGGTCCAGCCTTGCCTAATTAGCTGGCTTCCCTCCCTGCTGTCCACAGGCCCTGTGGTGAGTGGCAGGGTGAGGGCCCCCCCAGGAGGGCCCCAGTGCCTGGTGGGTGAGTAATTCTATTTACCTTTCCTCAGAGGCCTCCTGTCCCCTCATTTGCCCCAATTAGTCCGGCTCTGCCCGAGCGGCTCCAGCCCACGTGGCCCAGGCGGGGCCTGTGAGCACCCCTTCCCCCAGGGTCCAGCGGCACCTCCCAGCAGCTCCTCAGAGCAGGGGCACCTGGCTGGCTCCTTCCCCAGCCCATGCACACACCTCAGCAGGTCTCACAGCACCTACCGTAGGGACCACCCGGAGGACTGACCACAGGCCCCTCATGGGCTTCCACCCTGCACTTGTCTCCACCCCTGCTGTGTGGTCCCTGGGCCGTTAGATTCAGGGTGTGCCCCAGACAATGGGCGACCCCACCCTCAAGCACCTCCTGTGTCCAACATGCAGGAGGCAGCTCTTTCCTGGTGCTCCCTGGCTGGCAAGCAGGACACCCACCCACCATGCAGTGGCAGGAGGACTGGCGTAGGCTGGACCTCTCTGTGTGGCACGCCGTGGGTCCTGTGCAGAGTTTGGACAACTTGCACTGCTTCGTCACCTGGACCTGTGGCAATGTTCAGACCCATTTCTTCCTGCTTCAGTCTGCTACGTGGCCTGCAAATTGCCCGAGGGGGCTGGAGCTGAGATGAAGCGGAGGCCAGGAGGCTCAGAGGAAGGGCGGGCTGGTGAGCCAGGTACCAGTGTCCTCACGGCCTCCAGGGAGGAGACACCCTCTGGGTGAATCCAGTGCTGATGGGGTGGGTTGGGGGACTGTGATGCCTCATGCTCCCTTAGCCACTGGGCCCCTCACATTTCTGCTGGTGAATGGTGACCCTCTGGTGGCCAAAGCGTCCAGGGGGATGCCCGCCAGAACCAGGATGGGAAGGTGGCCAGGGCCTGCTCAGATGGGCACAGGCTGGCTGCCTTCGGGATCCTCTGGGGTTCCAGTGCCAACTCTCTGTGAACTGGGACAGCAGGGGTCTTTCAACGACCCGCACTGGCGCTGACCACCCACTGCTGTTCCATCCCCACTGCTTCGGCCCGGCATTTCCAGCCCTGCTTTCCAGGACATGCGCGGTGACCACTTGAGCTCTTTATTGTTGGAGGACATCTCCACGCATGTAGCACGTGCCAACATACATGGGGACACTGGTGAGCAGTTCACCGCACAGCCCCTACCTCTGCCCTGGACTCCTCAGCTCGCCCCTGCACCAGGGACAGGGCAGGTGCAGGGAGAGGAGGCCCCATCTCTCGGACTGCCACACTGGGGGTAGGGGATAGGCGGGGGCTGCTTTGGGCTCCCCTGCCCCCAGCCTCAGCTGGGCGTCTGGTTCTGGGTTGTCCAGCGATGCCCTCTAGGTGCCTGAGTCCAGCCCTAGCTGGGGTCCCAGCAGGGTTGAGAAGGGGCTCTCAGCCAACCTAGGGAGGCCACCAGCCAAGGGGATCTCCGCAGATGAGTCCTGGCTGCCACCACCCCTCCCAGACTGCAGCTTCTTGCCAGGAAGGCCTTGGCCAGGCGCAGATGGGGCCTTGTGGTTGCTGGTGCCCCGCTCCTCCTGCAGCACTTTGCCCAGGCGCCAGCGGTGCCAATGCTGCCGAAGTTCCGACTGCACCTGGGGCGGGGGGTGGGGCAGGCCAGTCCTGGGGTCTGCCTGTCCTCTCCGCCCCACCGGGACCTGCTGTGGGCCCGTCGGAGATGCCCAGTCTCCACTCTGAGGGGTGCAGAGCGACACAAGCTCCCTGCTGGGCACAGCTATGCCACCCAGCATCGCCACGGAAAGCACAGTCTGCAGACACCCGGGGACCCCCGCTGTGGACACCCTAGCGATGGGGCTGAGGCCAACCTGTCTTGGGGGCCTGACAGCCAGCGCCACGGCAACTGCACCCAGTAAGAGCATGTGGAGGGGAAGGCTTGGGCCACATGTGTTCCAACCCCTGGGCAGGGGTGGGGCTGGCATCCCTGTGCCACTGTCTGCCCCTGACCCTGACGGCCAGGGCTGATGGTCTCAGACGCCCCCACTGCCACCTACCTCCTTGTTGAGGAAGCAGTAGAGGACAGCCACCAGCAGGCCCTGGAGAGAGACGGTGGTCAGGGGTGGCATGCTGCGCCCCGGGTGGGGGAGCCGCGGGCGGGCAGGCACCTGGAAGGAGCTGAGGAAGAGGTCGAAGAAGAGCTTGGCGAAGCGCAGGGTGCCCTGGGCGTGCTCGTCCGTCACGAAGGCGAAGACCACTTCGTGGACACCCAGCAGGGGGATGAGGGTCAGTGTGGACTTGGCCAGCCTACAGAGGCAGAGCCTGAGTCACCCGCCACCCTCGCCCTCGGCCTGCACCATCCACGTGGAGCTTGGAGTCCTCCCACCCAGCTGCCCTCTGGCCCTGAGGGTCTCCAGATCCCGAGGCGCCGGCCCGCCGTGGCACCCACCGGAACTTGTAGTCTGTGTGGTGCATCTGCCGTGCCCGCAGCTTGGCCACGAGCAGGTGAACAATGCGGATGAAGATGAAGAAGTTGATCTATGTGAGAAGGGCACAAGTCAGGGGCACCCCGAGCCCCAGGGGACAGCTCTGTGCCCTTGGAAGGCCCCACCTGACCCTCCTGCAGGTGGGTCTGGCAGCCAGATAGGCCCTGAGCCTCAGAGCCCTGGGGCTGGTGGGCACCCAGCCAGGGAGGAGCAGCCTGGCTCAGTGGCTAGGGTGCTGGCCAGTGTCCTGGTGTCCTGTCTGGGTGCCGGCTCCCTCCTGGCCCTCCCAGGCAGGATGCTGCTGTCTGCTGGGGCAGCCTCAGGACGCCAAGGGAGGAGGGCCCTGGCATGCGGTCCTTGCTCTTCATTTCCTCACCAGGATGGCCAGGAAGACGGGGAACCGCAGGATCCACCAGAAGCCCATGTTGTTATTGCTGGTCCAGCACCTGCGAGGCCGGGCCACTCACAAACTGGGGCACAGCCCCCAGCCCCTCAGCCCTCAGCACCCCCGTCCCGATCTTGCCAGTATCTAATTCAGGCCTCAGGAAACGAAGGGAGAAGGTCACGAATGACCACTCTCCCCAGGCACCAGGCTCATCCCCGGCCCCTCCCTGCCTCGGGCCAGAGCTCCACACCCCAGCCCCCCGGCCCCTTCCCCGGGCCGTCCGGCCGCTCATACTCACTGGATGTTCTCGAACAGACACCTGACCACCACCCAGGGGATGATGAACAGCATGGGGGCACCTGTGGGGGGCAGCAGCTGTGGTCTCAAGGCTTGGCTAGCCTGCCCCGACCCCTTCCCGTGCCGGCCCACTCACCCCAGCCGATGCCCAGGTAGAGGCTGAAGAAGCTCCTCTCAGGGAGGGTGGCCAGGCCCAGCAGGTTGTGCAGGTACAGGCCCTCCACCAGCAGCCAGCAGTAGTTGGCCACGACGCCATATTGCATGAACACTGCGGCCACACGGCAGCCGGCCACCGCCTGGCACAGGTGCAGTGTGAGCGTGGCCACGTGGCCACCTGCCTGGCTGCCCGCCCACCCGCCTGTGTGGGGCCGCCTACGGGGGCTCACTCCATCACTGAGCCAGATGCTGACACTGAGGTCGTCGCCAATCTTCTGGCTGTAGCGGGTCCTGAGTAGCCCATCGATGACCAGCACGGAGCTGGCCTTCAGCACGAAGGACACAAACAGGTTCGCATGGATGGCGTTGCGGGTGCAGTGCAGCTTGCTGTGGGGACAGCCAGTCAGCGACCGCCCTCCTCCCTGCCCTCTGCGGCCTCCCCGGGCACTGGCGGGATCCTACCTGATGCCCCCCAGGATGGCCAAGGCGAGGAGCAGGGCCCCCAGGGACAGGCTGTAGCCCACCGTGTACATCACCTGGAAGCTGCTGTACATCTTAGCCACCTCCTTCTGCGAGTTACAGTGGCCTGTGAGGGCCAGGCGGGGACCCCCGTGCCCATTCCCATCCAGCCCCACCGCGCCCGCCTGCCGCCGGCTGACCTGGACCTCAAGCTCCTCGCCGTCCATCTGGCACTGAGAGGCGTCACGCCAAGGCTGCCCCCGGGGTCCGCGCACCCACTGACCATCGGGCCCGCATCTCTTGAACACGAAGCGGTGTTGCACTGCGTGTGTTGGGGGAGGCTGGGGTCAGCGCCACCCCTGGGCCCGCCCCTCCCACTGTTCCTTCCCTCTATGGGTACCTTTGTGGTGCCAAGGCAGGTACCAGGGGCAGGAGATGTTGGCCGTGGTATTGGCGGGGGTGTCTGGCCAGCAGGAATACTTGTCGAAGGTTCTGTTACAGACCAGCTCTGCAGGGCAGGGTGGGAGAAGGGGCTCCCTCAGCAGGCCTCTTACCTCTCTCTGGAGGCCTGAGCTCAGCTGTCACCTCCCCCAGGACGTGACCTGGGCTGCTTCCTCCCCCACCTGACCTCCACCTCCCCAATCTGACCTCCACCTTCCTCACCTGACCATCCATCTCCCCTGGGCCAGCCTCCCCTAACACTCCCAGCCCATCCCTGAGTTCCAGCTCTGCAGGACACCTTCCCTCAGAGAACCCCCATCTCAGATGTCCCCCAAACCCACACTGGGGTCCCCCATTCTCTGTGACTTTCTCACAGTACCTCCCTCTCTGGGGGCTGAACCCCAATGCCATTTTCATCCATCCCAGGTGCACTGCCAAACCTGTGGCTGCCACACCCGCTCCCCTCTGCCCAGTGGAGGCTGCCTCCCTCGTCTGAACCGTGGCACTGCCTCCCAGGTAAGTCCTCCAGCCCTAGCCTCGCCCTGCACCCCAAGTGTCCAGGCCATGATATGCACTCTCCACCCAAGCCCTCCCAGGCCTGTGTCCTCTGCTGACCCTCTGGGTCCCACCTCCCACGCCCTGGCACTGTCTGCCCACTGAAAACTCCATGGGGCTATACGCGGTATTACGCGTCTGGGCCTGGGGGCACGAAGCAATTCCACTGTTCTGTTATTTCCTGGCTCTGCAGCCTTAGGCAAGTCCCCAGCTCTGTGGTTCAGCTACCTGGTTACGTCACCTGCCCATGGTGGTGGGGCCTGAGGAGTGACAGGGCCCCTTGGCGGGGTCCTCAAGGGCTGCATAAGCACCCAGGAACCTTCCCATGAAGAGCTCAGGAAATGCTGAGGCCAGGCACAGGCTGAAAGGCTCTGGGTGGGGGCTCACCCGTGGGAGGGGGCAGCAGGCTCAGGTTGTGGTGACACTGGTCACCGTAGAGCTTCCACTTCTCAAACAGGAAGTCCATCACCTGAGCGGAGGGGGCCTGTGGCTGGGGGACACATGCACAAGCAACCATACAGACAGGCAGGCAGATGGACAGACAGATAGGCAGACAGGCAGATGGACAGACAGACAGACAGGCAGGCAGACAGGCAGGCAGGCAGGCAGACAGGCAAGAAGACAGATAGGCAGAGAAATAGGCAGACAGGCAGACAGACAGACAAATAGGCAGACAGGCAGACAGGCAGAAAGACAGACAGATAGGCAGACAGG